TTGGGAGAGGACATGATAGCCATGTTTAAATTTTTGAAACAATGTCATGTTGAAGTGGGGACAGGTTTGCTTTCCAGGGCTCCAGAGACCAGGACACGGAGCAATGGTTTCAAATTACAGGAAAAGAGATTCCATCTAAACATTAGGAAGAACTTCTTGATGGTTAGAGCTGTCCGGCAGTGGAATAGGCTGCCTCGAAGGTGGTGGAGTCTCCTCCCTTGGAGATTTTAAAGCAGAGGCTGGATGGCCATCTGTTGGGAGTACTTTGATGGATGTTCCTGCATAGTGAGGGGTTGGACTGGATGGCCTCAGTGGTCTCTTCCAACTCTGTGACTCTAATTCAGATCCTGCAGATTAGCCATAGATGCTATATCAAATAAATAAATAAACAAATAAATCTATAAAATATGTTGGGGTGCCTTTGGTATTTCTGCTGCTTTAGATGGCAGCGCTCCCCCCCTCCCCGTCCTTCACCACTGGCCAGGCTGAGTGGTACCTCGGGAAGATGAAGTGAAACAAAAAAAAGGAGGGGTGGTGGAAGGGGAAGCAAAACTAATAATTCTTCCTATGTAAGTCTGAGACCCACATACTTGAAAGGCTCCTTTCCTTACAAATTTGCCTTTACTCTAAAAAGGTAAACTTTTAGAGCTTCAGAGATTTTTCACATTCAGGACATCAAACAGGCAGCAGTGATTAACAAAACGTCCTTTGGAAAGTAGTCCACACCTTATTTTTAGAATGTACTTCTGAGCACAGGCTTGGCTGGCACCCTTCTGCCTTTCTAGTGCCAGGCAAAGACCAGTTTCCCTGGAATTTCTGAAAAAACTCAACAGTTCTAGCTGATCATGATTTTATTGGTCAACTATGTTGTTACAGCTGCTATTGTTTCATTATGATCGGATGGCACAGTATTAATGTTCAGGTTTTCAGCCACTCTGGGAGCATATGTTTCGGAGAAAGGGTTCAAAATCTGTCAAGATTTGAATAGAAAATTGCCTTCTCTGCATTTGGAAGAGATCCTTCCCTTACCTGCTTAACCAAGATGTTGTCACACTTGAAGAGGGTCTCCCGGAGTTTCCCCGCACTTGTGCTGTGACAACAGGCTCTTTCAGCTGATTGGAGCGACTCCCCCAGCTTCTGCAGCTCTGAACGCAGCAGCCTCACATTCTGTAAAAGGGAAGAACAGTCAGCACCAAGCAGGTCCAGCCCCAGGGCAACAAATGAACTACAACCCAAAGGCCCAGTCAGGAAAAACAGGCAGTTCACCCCCTTCTGGCAGATAAGGGGGAACAACACATGGCAAGGTAGAGAGGCTTCATCAACTCCTTACCTTTTGGCCTTCCTCTAGTTTCCGATCTACATCTGACGTGATGGGTTTTGCGGAAGGCGGGGGCTCCAACATTTTCCGATACTTACGCAACTCTAGAGACAAGCCAGACAGAAGACAATATGTTTCACTGAACAGTTTATATTTAGGCCAGTTTACAACAAGAAGGCTGGACCCCAAAATGTGTAGCGATAAAGATACGTCCCAACAAATCGCAACTAGCCACAGAGTTTTCATACCCTTAAAATTTAAAGATTAAAAATCTGAAGAAGTAGTGTTGCCACAGAGACATGAACCCAGGCATTTCTCTTTCTAGAGACATTAAGCGCTGGCTTATCATGCTCCTTTCCATTAGAGACCCAGGTGTAATACCCATAATAAGCTATCAATGGTTGACTTGGCCAATCTCATTCTTAAATAGAGAAGTGGGCAGATTTGGAAATAATCCTGAAAAACCTTACACAGGAAGGAACTCTGTTTTGTGTGATCTGCTGTGCAGCACAGATTATATGTTGATTTAAAAAATAGTTGACTGGGTGGGATTTTAGTGATCAAATAGAGATCTTATTTGGTTTCCTTGCTTCCCTTCTTTGCCTTCCAACACCTCAGATGAGGCAAGTGGTAGGTAACCGTGGCCCTTCCAGAAGTTGCTGGCTCACAGCTCTTGTCAGCCCTGGGCAGTACAGCCAGGGAGAGTTGCAGTCGAATCATCTGGAGGGCCAGCTGCATATTCCTAGGCTAGGCTGACCCAGTTCAAGGGCTTCAGATGTCAATTACTGAAATCATTTTATAACTAAAACATGTTTAGGATACTTGGGTGGTTGGGGTGAGGGAGATCTGGAGATGGAAGTGTTTGCAGGAACTTGATATTCTTTATTCCTGTTTTTATAATCATCTTTCCTCAAGATGGCAGAAGGATCACATGGTACATGTTTTGGAAGCAGAAAGTTCTTCCTTCACCACTAACAGTGCTGGCCAGGATGAAGATGGCAGAAGGATCACATAGTGCATGTTTTGGAAGCAGAAAGTCCTTCACCACTAACAGTGCTGGCCAGGATTTCTGGGAGTTGTAGTCGAATAACACCTGGAGCAAAGTCTGGGAACCACTGGTTTAGGTGGACAAGAATTCTGATCTGGTAACTACACAGCTCCCTATGTTCCACAGCTTGGCAAGGTTACTGTTTTGGACTACAGCTCTGAGAATATCTCAGCTTAACCACTGGCCATGCTGGCACTAGGTTCATTTAGAGACCTGTTGTACAAAAAGAATCATCTTCTCCAGACTGCCATTCGCCAAGGACCACAAGCCATGCCTAAGGAAACCGAATGTCAATGAGAACAGGTCTCCTGTACTTCAGGGGTTGGAATCTAGGCAGCTATGCTCTGGTGTTTCAAGAACTGGATCTTCAAAGTCTTAGGACACAGTAGCCTTTTGCTACACAGCCCAGATTCAGATCACCAATCTGCTTGGAGTCTCTGCAGCTCTCTCTCTCTCTCTCTCTCTCACAGATCACCAATCTGCTTGGAGTCTATGCAGCTGTGTGTGTGTGTGTGTGTGTGGGGGGGGTGCCTCACCTTCAGTTGCTGTGCTTAGCTCTGCCTGGCACTGCTCCAACTTGGCTTTCGTCTGTAGCAATTCCTGCTGATGGCATGATGCCACGCGCTTGGACCTGCGCAGGGAGTCCTCTGCTTCTGGTTGCTTCCTCTCTTCAGATTCGTGCTGCCGTTTTGATTCTTCCAAGGCAGCTTCTAACTCTTTGATCTTTTCATCCTGATTCTGAAGAAGAAAATGGAGGTTAGTGGGAATATTCTACTGTTTTAACTGCAACCTCCTGAAGGATACAGGAGACCAGCTTATACAGCACAAAAGCTAAGAGAACAGCAAGTAATACCTCTGGTAGACCACAAGGGGGAAAATCACAAACAGGAGCTTGCTTTCAACCCCATACAGGTTTTCATCAGACTGGGCACCAAAGAGCTGTGGATGGCGTGAAAAAAAACATAAAAGCTACAAAGTGGCTCTACAGCTAGATATCCATGCTAGATTCCTTTGTTAAAAGAGAACTTCAAAATGGGGGTTGTCAACTTAAGTCAAGATACCTAGTGATGAACTAGGACTCAGGATGCCTGGCTACAAATCCACACTTAGCCACGGAAATTCACTGGATATGTGGAACTGATGAAACCACTTGTGAGGAACCCAGCAATACAGGGGTTAATCATTCCCCTGAGTCTGTAGCAAAAATGCTGATATGAGTTAGATGGGAGAAATAATGCCTCTGCCGGTGCAAGGAATTTCATCTCTGACTTTAGAGTGGTAAGGAGTATGAGGAGTGGATGAGGTGTTGAGTCTGCTTGAATTCACATGGTATGCAAACTGGCCACAACTGGAGTTACTCTTGCAGAAGTGACTAACTGTCTAGATAAGAAAGGATGCCATTTGATTGGTTGAAAGTATTGAGCCATCCATCACTGGGATGATGGGATATAAGGCTAGCTAGAACAGTGGATCCGTTATGATTGTTTAGAGTATCAAGCAGCAACTTCATATAGCCTATGCTTATTTGCTTGCCTCAATATGCAGTCTAAGCCTGCTATTATGCTGAACTCTGTGTCTGCACTGGAACCATGCTACAATGTTAAGTGCAGAATTTGACAGTTAACTTTCTTATTTTCCATGGCATAGAGTTTTAACTGCCCAGGTCTCTGAATGATTTGCCTTTTGTTTTCAAAATGGAACTGCTTCACACCATCATCATTATTTCAGTCTTTGAGCTTACTTTTAAATCTGCATGAGATTTCTTCAATAAAACACCATAAAAATGTACAGGCATGTTTTCATTCAGACAGCATAAAGAGTTGGTGGTGCTAAAGAACAGTCCCTTGCACTTGGAAGTCTTTTTGAGTACTTCTTGGGTGTTTGGTGTTTTCTACCTTGCAAGGTTGGTTTGCAACCAGGAGCAATGACTTGAAAGTTATGTTCTCCCTGGAGCACCAGAAGAGCAAGAGGCTCGATGTGTTGGTAGAAGGGGCTCACAGGACGCTTTCCCAATTACTAGCACACTGAACCTACCTGGCGAGCACCCACTCCAGGGTAAGCAAGGGCAATGTGGCTGAGTGATCAGTGGATCCTTTCTGTAGTGATGTTCCATTCATCACACCACTCCTTAAATATCTCACTTACCTTGAAAACTTCATCAGGGTCACTACAAGTTGGTTTGAGCTAAAGGCACATAACAACAGCAAACAAACTCAAGATAGGATAAGTTGGTTTGAGCTAAAGGCACATAAATAACAACAGCAAACAAACTCAAGATAGGAGTTATAAGTCTCAAATTCCACCCCTGGTGGTGGTATTGGGAACGTTTCCCCCCAATCTTGTTAAGATATCCAGCCTGGTGATAACTTGTACAGGGTCAAAAACTAGCTCCTATTGTGATTTTTTTAAAATGGCTTTCTTCAACCTGGTTCCTTCTATATGGGTTATACTACAATCCCCACTACCAATTACATAGTGGGAGTTGTAGTCTAGTATAGCTGAAGGGTACTCATTTGGAAATTGCTTTTAAATTCTCATTTAGGCAGGTTTGCATATGACTAAGAGCCCAAGGTCAAGATAAGTCAGCCAAGTTCCACCCATCTGATCCCATCAGGATGCTGTCAGGCACCAGCATGCAGTTTCTCGCCTGATAGAATGTGCAGGGCAACCAGCTTTGAAGTGTCATCAGTACAAAATAATAATTAAAAAATGGTGACAATCCCTTTAGATGCAGGGGTGAAACACTTGAAAGGAAGGCCAAAATCCAACTGCAGAAAAACTATAGCAATTGCCTCCTTCTGGTGGGCTCCCCTGCGTGCAATCAAGTGGATAACTGAGTTCACAGGATCAGGCCCGCCAAGAGGGACCTGCCAGAGGTGGAAAATTCTTACGTAACTATGTAAATGAACGGGATTTTGACCCAAAGTTTTGTCCTAATGCAGGAGCCCACAATGGGAACTATTATTTCATACGAATAGTTCACCTTTCCTCTAGTGAGGTGACCCCCACAATTGTATCCAATTTTATCCTCACAACAAACCTTAGGCTAACTAGACTCTATGTAACAACAACAGATGGCCTGCAAGTCTCTTCAGCTTAGGCTGGTTTTAGACATACTTTTGTGCTACAGAAAAGTATCTTTGTAGCCATTTCAATAGACAAGACAGTCCTAAAATGTTAACTTTATTGATCTGGGGATTTTGAGCATTGTAGCCATAAAACTAATTCCTCCAAATATTAAAACTGTGCAAGAGGCATTGATTTACATAAAGCATCTTCTACAAGGCACTCGTTCCTTGCTTTAAGCCAGCATAAGGTACTAACAGCACTAGTGTAGTTCCTTGCTTTAAGCCAGCATAAGGTACTAGGTTCCTTAGGATTGTTTGAGCTGCCAACCCCTCCCCTCAGGATACTATAATGCCTATAATGTCTCGTCATGGTCTCCAACCTTTTTTCTGCCCCTGACGCACCTCAATCTGCTCCAGATAATAGTCAGTCAACGACTCCTTCAAATTGTTCAGCTTGTCCTCATACAACTCCTCCAGCATGTCCTTTTGAGCATCCACATAATCACTTCAGGAGAGAAGGTGAGGAAGGCAGGTGGCGGAGAAAGAGAGACAGCCATAAGAGAGCATGTGCCCATTGGGCTGGACAGCTGGAAAAAGCACAGCCTTCCAGATATTGTCACACTACAATGCCCAGCGTTCTTTACCACTGGGCTAGGGAGCTGCAGCCCAGGGTAGAAGGTCAAAGACATGGTACTACCTGAGGCAAAGACAGCATGGCACAGCTAGCTACCCCTATGCAGCTGACAGGGCGTGATCAATGGACTTTTCACCAACAAGGATGTTGTGTCCCTCACCACCATCCCCATGAGGAGAATAAAGCAGCTTTGGAGCTAGAGGGGGGGGGCAGATGGTGCAGCATTCAAGGCTCTCTCTTCTCAGTGCTGCCCACTAATTATCTGCCCTCTCAGGTACCCACTTTATCTAACAAGTGGGGGGGCTGGGGCTGGCCCTCTCGAGGACCTATAATGGGGGCCTCCTGAAGAGGCCTCTCGCCCTGTGGCAGGAATCATACCTGCTCCACTGTTCCCTCTGTTGGAGGTGCTCCATCATCTCATTGCAGATCTCATGGCGAAGGCGCATTTCCAGCTGAAGCTTATCCTGACGTTCCTTCAGCAGCAGTTCTTGCACGGCTTCAACCACCCGCAAGAGATCCTGGGGAAGGGTTGGAAACAAGGAGAAAAAGTGTGGCACATGATCCCACCATGACTTACCAGAAGAACCACAGAGAGCCAACTGTTTATGACTAATGCATATCTAATCAGTTGCTAAGCATCAAAGCACCTCTCTAAAGAAGCTAGTTTATTATCCTTTGTCAGCTTTGAATTCTTGCCTGGACATGCCAAGGACTTGAAAAGGTGATTGTTTGGGATTACTATTCCTAGCATGACCGTGTTTTCAACCATTGATTGAGCTAGTTACACAGCAAGTAAAGCTCCACATATACCTCTCAATCCCTCTTTGGATATGTCGGTACCTACAGATCCAGTATGTTCTTCCATCGGGTTTGGGCAACTGGACACTGCCTCAAGGAGCCAGGGAAAAAAGGACAACTTGCCTCTTTATCATATGTGGTCACATCTGTTTCATCCTCGCTGCCCTCATTAGGTTCTGTCTCTTCATCCAAAGCTTCTGCAGGGATCTTACTGGTTCGAATGCCGTGTTCCTTGATAAGAGACCGGATGGACAGGATGCCCACTTTTGATGGCACTTGTATGAGCTGGAAGATACACCATGTAGGGATTGGCACACTCAGAAAACATTTGTCCATCCATTTACTTCCCTCCACCATTTTAGCAACAAGGGTTATCACCTCCCCCATCCCATCCTCAAATGTTGGGATCTTGGGCTGATTGGCCCTGGGTCAAATCAGAAAATGTTTAGTGCAGCTTTTACCTTGAAAAGGAAGGTATAGTGGTGCCTTGACTTATGACCGTCCCGACATACAGTACGAACATTTCAAGTTACGACCAGCTCCAGCTGCAAAATTTTGCTTCGACTTGCGACTGGAGCTTCAAGTTATGATCAAAAAAAGGCAGGGGGAAAGGGCGGGGAATTCAAATTGCTAACTGTTGGTAGGCGAAGAGGCTGCTTCATTGTAGCTCTTTCACCCCAGCAGTTAGAGAGTGAGTGTGATTGGAGGAGACTTTGGACTGCCTGGTAAGGTAAGGTGCTGTTTTCTGCTTTTTAAAAACTGTTCTGGGTCGGTTTTGCAATGTGGTTTTGGGCTGAGGGGGTTATGTTTCTGTGTTGTGATGGGTCTTGGGGGATTTGTTTTTTTTGGGGGGGGGAAGGTTGTGTTTCCGATGGGTCTTGCAATCTTTGTTTGCTTTTTGGTTCCCTCCCCCCATTTCAAGTTACAACCGGAGTTCTGGAACCAATTAAATTCATAGGTCAAGGCACCACTGTATTCTTCCAAATGAAACAAGACATCACACCTTTGGCCTTGTACAAGGTGATCTCCTTCAAAAGGAGAATTATTTTTGAGAAAAAGAGGGCAAAGTTATTTATGCAATGCAGGTCAGGAAATAAGCTCTTTTCTCCCTGACATTTTAGCATCCTGCTCTAGCAAATGGTAGGAAAAGAGATGGTGGCTAAACTGATTAAGGACTAGCCAAGCGTCAATCACAAGTAATTTTCTTGGTTCTATAAATAGGAATATAGTGTGTCAATCAAGGGAAGTGACAGGAGGATGGTGGCTGATTAAGGACTGGCCAAGCGTCAATCACAAGTAATTGGTTGTATAAATAGGAATATAGTGTGTCAATCAAGGGAAGTGACAGGAGGTTGGACCCGATGGCCCCTGTAGTCTCTTCCATCTCTGTGATTCTATGATTCTGAGAGTTCTCTTAAGGACTATCTAAAGATTATATCAAGAAAGGATCCATCAATTTCATCCCATCTGAAAGATAATATTCAGCTCCAAGCTTGAAAATATTATTTTTATCACCCCCTGCAGTATTTGTTTTCAGTGTGGAAGGGATTATCACTCTCGAATTGGCCTCCTCAGCCACACTAGACGCTGTTCCAAGTTCTCCATACAGAGCATGTTACCATAGTCTCTCAAGATTGAAGGATGCCTAATCTAATCTAAATCCCTCAGACAGCATGTCTAGTGATAATGCTTGATAGACAATTTTGGGAGTTGTGGCAGGTATTCAGGGTATACTGCCCTTGAACATGGAAGCTTCATCTAGGAGGAGCTTCAAGTTAATCCAAGCAGCCTAGCACCTAACATAAGATGCAAGCAGTTTTAAATTCTCTGCGTTCTATGGAAGATACAGTGGTGCCTCACTTAACGAGTGCACCGTTTAACAACGCATCCGCATAGCGACATGTTTTTGCGATCACATTGCGATATTTAGAAAACAGCTGATTGCCGGTTCCAAAATGGCCACCAGGTGCAGAAAATGGCCGCCTGCAGCGTTTTCGCGCCCTGCCCTCGCTTACTGGGCAGCGAAAATGGCGGCCGGATGGGGGAATCTTCGCTTACCGGTGAGTTTTTCCCCAATAGGAACGCATCAAACAGAGTTTAATGCATTCCTATGGGTCCCCCCCCGCATAGCGACGAATCCGGATAGCGACGTTAATCCTGGAATGGATTAATGTCGCTATGCGGGGCATCACTGTATTTGGGAAAGTGCCAGATGGATTGAGTTATGGACAGGTAATTTTTTATGGCAATTCAGTTTGTTCACTAAATTAGTGCTCATGAACAACGGGTATCTATAGAATGTCAACCAACCTGGTACTTTCTCAGTATGTTGGACTAAAAATCTAAGCATTCTTAATATGCTATGCCAGCACAGTTACTCTTGCAGGTGAGAGTAATGGTAACAACCTGCTATTAGGGAATAATGGACAGAGCTCCTTTTCAAAGTGGAATGTTCTGAGCACAGAGCTAGCTCTCACCATAGATTTGCCCAGGCTTCCATCTTCCCTCAGGTATGAAACAGGTATTTTTTTTTCACTTGATGAGGCAAGAAGTACCTTTCCCCTTATGTGCTTGGGCTGCTGAGTTTGGCAGGGAAAGCTTACGTGAAGGAGGAAAAATGGAGGCTGAAGAAAGGTAAAAGGGAAACCAAGGTGAGTTGCAGGGAGATTGTGCACACTTGATGAGGCAAGAAGTATGTGCTTGGGCTGCTGAGTTTGGCAGGGAAAGCTTACGTGAAGGAGGAAAAATGGAGGCTGAAGAAAGGTAAAAGGGAAACCAAGGTGAGTTGCAGGGAGATTGTGCACACAAATATGTTTGTGGAACTCTGCGGGTAGCTGCTGGTGTACAACTGTTTTGCATATTACCTGGCTGGCAATGGCAGAGAACTTTGCCACATGGAGGGTCTCATCAAAAGAAGAAGCACATGGATTGATATTAACAATCATACAGGATTGTCCACGCCCAGTGAAAAAACCTTGGAACACACGAGTTAGTCTGCTCTCCCGAAATGGCACAACATTCTGTTTTAGCCTGTTTAAAGAGAAACAGAGAGAGAGAGAGAGAGAGAGAGAGAGAGAGATTAGATCTGAACTCTGCAAATAGGAAGCACCACTCCGCTCGCATCCACTAAACAAAATTCAGTAAGTTCCAAAAGATCTGAACGCAACAAACAACATCTCAAAGTGGCCTGGACTTCATATAGGAAAAGCCTCCATCTGGGTGTCAGACCAAACGAGACATAGTCATCAGGAGCTAAGGAAACAGGAATAGTTCAAACGTACCTGGACTGCTGGTTCTGGCGCAGCGTTGTGAGACAACGGCCCAGTACATGCAGAGATGTGTTGATGTTATTGGCTTCTTTCATGCGATCCCCATCCCTCTGCTCTTTGCAGCGCTCTGAGCCAGCAAGGTCACATAATGAAAGTCTAGAGAGGAGAGCAAATTGTCCCTGTAACAAGATTCTAAATTTTGAATAGTTCAATTGTATTTTTTGATATTTTCTTTTCATCCTTGCTTTGGTTAGAAACCCTGTACTCTTTGCTCAACACTGCCAGACAAATCCAAGTGAGATCCACTAACAAATATGCTTTCCAAATAGCCCTAGGATTTAGGCCACTCAATTTCTGAAAAGACTAGAAGACTATTTAAATGCTGTTCTCATTCTAGATCTGATACGCTGCACCTCTTGGAAGTGCCTCACATAGCTTCACATAGACACAAAGTTGTCCTGCTGAGAAGCTGTAGTCAATGCTACTCATGAGGGTTCCCATCCCCATCACAGTACTCTCAGGGCCATCATGATAACAAAGACAGATCGTCCAATTTCTTTCAATAAGACCATCATTCAAGAAATTAACAGATCATCCCACAGTTCCCTACATTTCAAATTGTTCACTTACTCGCTGATCTTTGGGACCATTTCACCACTCGTTCCCTGAAGATGTAGAATTCGGATGGAGAAGATGCTATGACTTCAGAGAAAAGAGAAACAATGAGGAGACAATTATACCTTGGCTCCAGTTCTTTAGTCTTTCACTCTTCCCACACCCCAGAATTCAGCTTCTGATGCAAAGTGCACCAACGAACACCCCTGAAATATGTTGTACCCAACCATCACTCCTTAAAAAAAGAATACAGCAGACCTGCGGCTAGAGTTGTGATTCATGTGTGTGCTGGCAAAGCTTTGATTTCTCCGACCCACTTTCAGCAGCTTCCAGGCCTCCTCAGCATCCTGAATGTTGATCCAGTTCAGGTCTAGGAAGAGGAAAGGGATCACAGAGTTGAAATGTGTGAGTTATTGGTCCCATAAATGAGATCAAAAACCACGAAACAGGAAAATCCAGGCTTCCTTCACTCCCGACTTAAGTTAGTCACAGAATTGAAATGAATTCCTGCTGTTGGATCTGGCATTAAAGCCAGACAAGACTAATTCCTACCTTTTACATAAGGGTTGCCAGTCTGGTCCTCACATAGCCGCAGTGTAGGTCTCTTGCGATTTGGGCCGAGCGTGGATGAATCCAGCAAGTCATAAATCAGCTCATTGTAGATCTCAAAGAAGGAAACCCAGACTGAAAACTGCACATCCTCTTGAGCCATAATTGAAACATGATCCAAGTCAGACCAATGTAGAGTTGTCTCTACCAATGGAAACCGAGTATGTTTAGTGTCAGTGATTACAACAATCCACGGAATGCCTCAATTAAGACAGATTTTCTAGAAACCCACCCAAAAGGCAAGGTTGTTTGAACTCTAGCTTTGCTGTCATTTATAGGAACATTGTACAAGCCACCTTAAGTAGAAGTCCAAAAGCTACACATTTCTTGCCTTCTCACATAGGAACATATTGACTCTTTCCCCCAATAATATGCCCCAGATCTGTTTTGTTCTGAACATATGGGCCCTTCCACTGAATTACATAAATGATTGAGTGTTTGACAGGCTTTTTTTTGCCTCACTCGGTGGGTTTATTCAAGATTTAAGTTTTAAATCTTCGGGAGGGCCTCTCTATCAACTTTAATTATGCAAAATCAGAAGACTCTGCTCCAGAAATGAACGGTGAATGTAAATTGATACCCTCCAGCTGGCTGGTGCTTGTCTGATTGCTCGTGTGGGAGGTAGAAGAGAGCCCAGCAATGCCACTGTCAATACTACCACTTGTGGCTCCTTGGAGGTGGGATCCTGTGTTGTGACTCTTGTTCAAAGAATTAAACAGCTCCTCCTACAAAGGAAAATAAATGGAAGAACTGAATTGCTGACTGTGTAATCTTTCTTATGACTACAGGTTCAATAAGAACTTGAGGCACTCACCTCTTTCATCCCTCCACGAATCAGAGCCTGTTTCTTGATCTCCTCCTGACAAACCTGCTTGCTGTTCAACCAGGTTACCTCACTTGAGAGGAAGGGCTTCAAGTCTGTGGCCCGGTAGAGCCGTGTCCCAATGCTGTTGAATATGGTGGCCAGAGAACGAGGCAGGATGCCCGCATCAGCACCACTACCTGCAAGCCGAAGAGGAAAAGGTGAACAGACACTTCAAGACAAGGAACTCCAAACCAGGAAAAGATCATTACCTAAACCAACACGGACTGAAAGTTCCTCACCCTGGATGGTGTACGTCTTCCCTGAATTAGTGACTCCATAGGTGTAAACAAGCCAATTCTGCCCATTGAGCACATCCTTCACTATGTCCTTCATTGTTGCTTCAAAGAAAGACTTCTGGTTCACCTCTGGCCCAAAGATCTGCAACCCAAATACTATAGGTCAGTGCTTTTATTTTAATAACACACCAGCTTACAGGCAGTCCAGTTTCTCCATCTTTCCTTGTTAGAATCCTTCTAAACTCTATTGTCTGTAACTGATCCAATATACACTGAGGAAACAAGAGCCCAACACCACCAAATCAAGATACTCACCTGGGTGAAGGTAAATTTGTGCACTGCCTGGCTGATCCCTCGTTCATTGTTTCTCATGGTGAAGGAATCTTTGGGCGCTTTGAGAAGAAGAGTCTCTGCATTCTCAGTACAGACACACCCCTGAGAAATGAAGTTAACATTCAGCATCTGAGATTTCCTGCCACAACAGCCTTACCGAAATATGCTTGATTTTAACTATTTATGGGTGACAGTAGCCAGAACGACACACTGGAAAGACCTCGGCTCCTCAGTCAAGCTACCCCACTCTAGAGCCCCAGTGGGATGTCAAGTGTGAAATCCAGGTCAGTGCTTTTATTTTACTAACACACCGGCTTACAGTTAGACCAAGTAACAAACAGGTGACAGGCAGTCCAGTTTCTCCATCTTTCCTTGTTAGAATCCTTCTAAACTCTATTGTCTGTAACTGATCCAATATACACTGAGGAAACAAGAGCCCAACACCACCAAATCAAGATACTCACCTGGGTGAAGGTAAATTTGTGCACTGCCTGGCTGATCCCTCGTTCATTGTTTCTCATGGTGAAGGAATCTTTGGGTGCTTTGAGAAGAAGAGTCTCTGCATTCTCAGTACAGACACACCCCTGAGAAATGAAGTTAACATTCAGAATCTGAGATTTCCTGCCACAACAGCCTTACCGAAATATGCTTGATTTTAACTATTTATGGGTGACAGTAGCCAGAACGACACACTGGAAAGACCTCGGCTCCTCAGTCAAGCTACCCCACTCTAGAGCCCCAGTGGGATGTCAAGTGTGAAATCTTATATTAAAAAATTTCACACTTAACATCCCACTGGGGCTCTAGATTGGGTAGCTTGACTGAAGAGCCAAGGTCTTCCCACTACTCACTCACTCACTCACTCACTCACTCACTCACTCACTCACTCTCTCGATAGATAGAGTGGTGGTCTACCCCTGGAATCACCCTCGTGGACGGAGTGATTCGTCCTGGCCCTTCGTTCCAGCAGAAGCCTCCGGAGGGAGACTGGGCCAGGCACCCGTGCTGCGGGACAGTATGCGCGGTTCAGAGTACCTCCTTGCAACCTTTAACGGACCGGGAACGTTTCGGGCTGGCTCCCTTTTAGGGGAACACAAAAGGGTCAATGTTGTAAGACCCAAGAAATATAAGCTGTTGGCGGAGGATTGTTTATTGGACCCGTTTGATGCCGTTAAGTTCTGTTACTAATAAAAAGGTTGATTTTGAAGAACATGATCAGCCTCCGCGACTTTTTCCCGCCTTTACCACGAGTGCACCCCCGGACCGAGAAGGACCTTGTCACAGTCACCTACCTGGTGTTTCTGATAGGCGCCCATTGCAGCCTAGTATTTTGAAATTCTAATCATTCGTGCAGCAAGAGAGTAAAGCTTCTTTCCCAGAGAGTCAATTTTCTGTCCTTCCCTATTCACATGTGTTGTGGAGGACCTGCTATGGGATTTATACTGGGTGGCCTCGACCACAATCGAGTTAGGCATTGGGTACGTGACTAAAAAGTCCAAGTCTAACCCGTGCGTTTTGTAATGGTGCTCGATTTTTCGTGGGATTTGTAGAGTACCGAGAAGGACCTTGTCACACCTCGGCTCCTCAGTCAAGCTACCCATTCTAGAGCCCCAGTGGGATGTCAAGTGTGAAATCTTATATAAAAAAAATTCACACTTAACATCCCACTGGGGCTCTAGATTGGGTAGCTTGACTGAAGAGCCAAGGTCTTCCCACTACTCTCTAGATAGATAGATAGATAGATGGATGGATAGATAGATAGATGGTGAAATAATTAAGGTGATGGAAGTAGGTGATGGAACCCTACATATATAGGGTTAAATAATTATATATACACACACACTATATTGAACAATAATTTACTACAGTCATTGCAAAACAATAAGCCAACTCTCCAGTAGAGTAAGATAACTTCTGTCAGATAGACATGTTTATGTTAAGCTGCCCAGAGACCTTTGGGTAGAGTGAGCAGCATATAAGTTAAATAAATAATTAATTAATATTGCAGTGTGTAAATATGGAGGTGGAGTTTGCAGGTCCAATAGCTGTAATATTCTGATGTTTCAGGGCCTTGGTGTTCCAGTATCTGGGAGCATCAAATGCTTTACGCTATAGAGCCTCTAGTTTTTACAACATTTTAGTAAAAACAATTATATTATTATCATAGTGGCAGCTTACAAAATTCGAAGTTATTTATTTATTTATTTGATTTATGCCCCACCTATCTGGCCCACTGGGCCACTCTAGGCGGCTTTCAATATAAAATCAGATAATAAAAACATAGGCAAATACATAATAATCAAACAACAACAGCAGTAAAATAATGAAGGAAAAGTAAGAGAGAAATCAAGAATTGGCTGGAGGGAAGGCCTGGATAAACAGCCATGTTTTTAGTTGGGTTTTAAAGCTGCCCAGCGTGGGGGCCGCGCGAATCTCCGGAGGGAGATTGTTCTAGAGGCGAGGAGCCATCGCCGAAAGCATTAAATGCTTTATGCTATAGAGCCTCTAGTTTTTTTTACAACATTTTAGTAAAAACAATTATGTTATTATCATAGTGGCAGCTTACCAAATTCGAAGTTACAAACCCTTAAAGTTACAAAGACTGTAAGAAAATAGCATTTCCTATTAAAATATTTTTTCCTTGGTGCTCCAGACCTCTAAAATGAATGACAAATATAGGAAGGTAATGGATTTCCTTCCATAGATGCAAACTGGCATAATGCTGGCTCAGATCGGTGAGAACATTATTTAATAATGTTTCATGTGTGTCCAGTAATATGCTTAAGGACTAAAGATTACTTAAAGTTATAATGGTTTTTACTTTTAAATTATGTGCTTTAGAGATATATTCTCTGATTTTAAATGTGCCTTTTTAAGGCTATAAACATTTGCATTTATTTGAATGTAAGCTACAGCAATTTTGAAGCATAATTAGACCATGATGTAAGTTCTGCTTAGAACTTACGGTAAGTTTTGTTTTTGGATTATTTATTTGCAATTTCTCATAGCTGTAAGACCTTTGGATGGAAATCACACCCGTAGCTTTTCATAAGTGCTAAGAATAATACTTTTTAAGCCTTTCTGCCTATAGCTTTTTTTTTCTATGGCTGTAAGGCTTTTGGATGTTTTCAAATTTTGAAGTATTTTCGTGCATATGTAAAAGCAATGTAGATCAATAAAGTTTGTAGAATTAGACAAGCTGATGTTGCCTGGAATTATTGCAAAAATGGGAGACTTGTTTTGTACCTTGATACTCAAGTGAATTTTGGTGTGATTGGAAATGATTGTCTGATTTCATTCTGGAATTAACTGCCCAGAGTTCACTTATTGGAAGAAAGGAAGCACACAAACAAAAAAACATACAAATGCCAGCTGTGATGAACACAGGCTTTTGCAGGGCTTTCAACAGAGATGTTCAGCCATCAGATTCTCTGACTTGATAGGGAAAACAATTCATGAAGTGTCACTATGATCAACACACTAGGACTAGGGAATAGCATTATTTGAACTGCACCTCTAGTTTTAATTAGACCTAACCAGCATGACAAATAGTAATAATGATATCTTCTATCCAACATCTGGGGGCTACATATTTTCAAGTTGCATGGGAAACATTGCAGCAAACATTCATCTCCAGACACTGTTTATATGTGCACACAGAACTGACTGCGCATCAAAGGCACAAGAGATCAGTGTTCTAGACTCCTTGTGGTCCTCCAGACAAAAGTCCATCTGTACCACTTGGAGATGGATGCCTACTTTGTCTTAAGCACTCACTTGATCCTCTTGCTTTTCCACCTCCGATGGCTTCAGGGGCCGCACTCTTGCATACACCTTCAGCTTCCCATTGTCATCAGAAGCAGCCTAGAATGTTAATAGGTATTTGTTAAGGTCACAGGAAGGCAATATTCTTTCAGCAACAACTCACAATAACTCACTCAAAAATATGAGAACAAACCACACCATAAGCAAAGTCTGAACATTGTTTCTGTTTACAAACCAGAGCACCTATAAGGACAGGGTAGGCTGTATATTACTGGCAAGAAATATTTGAGCAGGCAAGAGGGGAAGCTTAGGAGCATTAGGGATGCTCACCTAACGACCTAGACCAGTGCAGACATTACAGCTATTGTGGATTTCTACTTTTTTGGCAACATCAGGCCTGTTCAGATTACAAATTTAACAAATATATGAAGAGGAAAGTTGGAATACTCCATATTTCTCTCTTCACATGGTACCTGAACATAGAATGTGACCACTTGAACAGAGCTCCTGCAGCCTGGCTATCTTAAGGAAGCAACAAATGAAAAGTAATGACTGAAATCTTATTGCTTAGCATAGTATGTTGCAGCTAGAGTAGACTGAATCCGTGGGGATCTGGTATGTCAAGCTCTCTATTAGTTAAATTGGTTCAAAGGGCTTATTCTAGCTCCGGCTTACTAAATTAAGCCACAGGATTTCAGCCAATATAAACTGAGTGATGGCATAATCACTACATACTGGCCAAAATCCTGTTACTTAGTTCAGTAAACTGGACTACAGTTAGCCCACTGAATTAGTGAGGATTTTGAGTCAACTCCTCTGTAAGTTCAATTGATTCCAATAGGCCTAACTCTAACTGTGATCTTCTTTAACATACTAAATCAACGTTAGAACAGGCCTATTTGAATAAATTGGAATTTATGGCGTTGACTCACCAAATCCCCATTGATTTTGTACAGTGGTGCCTCGCTTAACGACGATAATCCATTCCAGTAAATTCACTGTAGAATGAAATCATCGTCAAGCGAAAGTAAAAAACCCATTGAAATGCATTGAAAACCGGTTCAATGCGTTCCAATGGGTGAAATACCTCATCGTGCAGCGAAGATCCTCCATAGGGCGGCCATTTTCTGGTGCCTGTTAAACAAGGAATCCTTACTGACCATGGGCCCAGTGGTTACAGCTGCAGTGTCCTCCTGAGTCACTCTATAATCTTCCAGAAATTCATTACACAAACACAGGAGGGAGCCATTTTGCACAGCACAGAGTGCTGTCCTCTGAAGATGCCGGCCACAGAGACTGGTGAAACGTTAGGAAGAACAACCTTCAGAACACGACCAAAGAGCCCGAAAAACCCACAACAACCACATGTATTATGCTGGGCAGGGGAGGTCGCCTTCTGTTACCAAATGGTCAGTAAGACCAATAATAATAACATTTGATAGATGAGAAGTCAAGACTGCAATACTTTTTAAAGCATATGAGGTTCCTTACTGAGCATGGGCCCAGTGGTTACAGCTGCAGTGTCCTCCTGAGTATAATCTTCCAGAAATTCATTACACAATAACAGGAGATCTAGGATGAAAGGTTGTCAGTCATTCTGAGACTGCAGTCCTGTGCCTGCTTACCTACAAGTTTCGTGTCAAGGGATACATGGCACGATTTCTGAATAAACCTATTTAGGATTGCTAAACTGTGTGCTTTTGCTCAGGTACAAAACTCTCCTTCCTTTAGACAACACCCTCCTTCTTCCTAATCCTGCCAAATTATTGTGATAGTTTGTTTACTGTTCTAAGGAAAGTTCAAGAACGCCATATTTTTGGGACTGCAAATCCCAGACATCCCTCCTGGTCATTTTGGCTGATGGGGAGTCTCGGAGTTTTATTTTAGACCAAAATGACACTTCTTCAAGCTATGGTAATAAGCAGTCAATTATGGTAAAATACAGAGTGTGGTTCATTTCAGCCTACCCTTTCTGCTCTATTCTTGGAACAGTGAAAACTGCTGAATTATGTGGAAGCTAACTAAGAAAAAACACATACATATAAAGTTGGGGTGGAATATCCTGTTATAGAAAGATCATTTAACATGAGCTTTGTGCAAACTATATGACTTTCATTTTCTATGTAAATCAACGAGTGTTCCCTGTCACTGGGTACAAAGAGCAGCTTCTCCAGTTTGAGAAAGACAAGACAAAGACGTTTTGGGATGAGGTTTTTGTTTCTCATTTCATCCGGCTTACTTGTTCATGGTTCACAGAGATGGCCGAGAAATCTGGCAGAAGAGCTCTGCGCAAACCGGCTCCACATTCTGCCAGAGTGGATTCCAGTACAGGAGAGACTACTGCTTCTTCATCTGATAACAGCCCTACTGGGGACTCAAGTCTGTGGGACAAAGTCGCCATGTGATCTTACTGCAAGAGAAACCCAAAACAAGGTCAAAAGCACAGGGGTCACTTCAAGTTGTCATTTTTGGTCTCCATGCATGCCCCATCCATTAGAATAAGCTGCACATGACTCACTTTTGCCTACATGAGAAGAGTTTGTGTGTCCCCAAATGTACATGTAAGGGTACTGAAAGGTGCTTGTTGTTGCCATTGCTACGGCCAGTATCCGCTCCCAATCACAAATGAACAATAACCACTACTGCCACAACCTATCCTAGAAGTATTTTTTTAAATTTAGTGTCATTTGTATGCCACCTTTTTCATGATAGGGCAACTCAAGGCAGTTCACAACATTAAAACAAGTACAATTAAAAACACAACAAATTTTACAATTAACAAGCAATTAAACTATAATAATAGTTAAAATACATTAAAAATCATTACAATTTTGAAAATGTACTTGGCCAAAAACCAGCACGTAGGACTCCATTATTAAACTCTGTCTGAAAAAAATGTGTTCAGCTGTTGGTGGAAGGATAAAAGGAAGGGGGCCAACCTAATATCCAGAGGGACAGCATAGCATAACCTGGGTGCAGCCATAGAGAAGGCCTTCACTCCTGACCCCATCAACTCTGCCTGCGCTGGCAATGGGAACAAGAGGAGGGTCTCCTTTGATGAGCTCAAGTGCAAGTGCCCAAAAGGGTCACTTAGATAGCCTGGACCCAAGCCGTGTAGGGCTTTAGAGGTAAGGACCTGCGCTGTGAATTGACCCTGGAAAAGGAGCGGTAGCCAGCGCAATTCTTGCAAGCAGAGGTTTTGTATACTCCCTATAACTGGCCCCAGTCAGCAGTTTGGCTGCAGCATTTTTGAACTCCTATCTGGATCGGCCTCATCTCTCTCTCCTGTGGAAACCAGAACAGCTCCCTTCGGAGAAGGGGACTTCCGACCGCAGATGGAAGCCTTCCTGCCGAGACCTCCAACCCCCAAGGTTAAAAAAAGAGGAAGCTTTATCATGCCAGCGGTAACGGTCCGCGGCGATCAGACCCAGACCACCTTCGATGTTCTAATTACATTCCGTGGTGGTAATTAAATCCGCGAGCCCCGCCTTCTATAACCGTTGCAAAGGTAAAGAGCCGAAAACTGGTTCATCCATGCACCAGCCACGCCGGGAGCTTCAGCGGCCCCCATGTCACCGACCCGACCCGACCCGACCCCGACTACCGCTCCTTTCGCCTCACCCGGCCCTTTCTTCCCCGGGCTGCTCGGTTCCGGTCGGCCCTCCGAGCCTCGTCCAGCCACAACCGACCCTGCAGGTTCTTCTCCTGGTTTTCCTGCTAAATTGTTTCAAACCTCGCGGCCGGGTGGACCAGCCAATCGGAACGCGAAAAATCCACGGGCCAATCCCGAGGCCAATACGAGATAGGAAGGCGGGATGGAGACGGTTCTCTTGCCTCTCGGGTAACTTCCGGATACTGAGGCACGCGCAGCAGTGGGCGGAGCTTGCTTTGTTTCGCTTGTAGTTATGGGAGAGGTTCGCCCGTGAGGCGGCGCGGTCGCCTTCGCTTTAGTGCCAAGGTGACAAAAGGCAGTCCAGGTTCTTGGTGGCGGACGTTGTACTGTACTCTGTCTATTAGCCTTCGAAATGGCGGCGCTTTGCTAAATAGTGCGAAGTAACGAAACCACTCTTATATTCAACGCCATAAAAATTAAGTTGACCGATAATAAATGGTTTTTCTAAAGTTTCAGAATATCGCTGGCTGACAAATCGTGCAGCCTGGAAATTTCGGCTCTTGGACCTCAAGAGAGAACTCCTTGAGGCAGCCATGTTGCCTTCCGTCAATTGCGAAGCGCAGATAGAAACGTTTCTTCACCCGAGCGAGCCCCATATAACTTCTATTTTCTTGAGATAGTGGAGCACACGTACAGTATTTGCACACAAATTTCCTGCTGTAACAAACACTCAGCATGTGCAGTTTCAGAGTAATTTAAATTGTAGCACTGTAACGACTACAGGAATAATATGGACTTGTTTCTACTCCCCCGCTGCTGTAGTCGTGACAGTAGTGTTATTGGTACCTTGCTAATCTATATCCTGTGCTTACTCTGTATATAACTTGTAAAGTCAGAGAAGTCGTTAAGGTGTGAGTTTTCAGGCACCCATCAGGCAAATTCACTCTCAAATAATTAACATTGCTGCAGGAACACATGTATTCTTGGTTTTAGAGCACCGTAATAATTCAGTGTAATACCTAACGCCTGCACATGTTATTGTTTAAGAATACAAGCATTCTGTTGAGGGCTTCATTTAAATTATCCACAGTGCTGGCTGCAACAATGTTATTTTTGTTCCTCAGGCCACAAGGACAAGTGGATCAGAAGACCAGCACAGTAGGTCAAGATGGACCCCTCTCCCTCAACTTCAAATTATATTGTCCTTTACTCACAAACTGGTGGTTGAAAATGCAGTGTATGGCAGTTAATTTTTCCAAATATTCCTATTTTAGGATTAGGCATCCTTCAGTCTCAAGAGACTATGGTAACGTGCTCTGTATAGAGGACTTGGAACAGCGTCTCGTGTGGCTGAGAAGGCCAATCCGAGAGTGACAGTCCCTTCCACATTGAAGATACTAAAATCTGTTCCCTGTCCAGCTCCCTGATTTTGCTGGTTTTGGGACTCCCTCTTTGCCTCGGCCTGCTGGACAAGTGTCTCTTCAAAATGGAACAGGCCATGATGCACCGCTTGCCTACAGGCTGAACGCTTAGATGTCAAGGTTTCCCATCTGTTGAGGTCCATTCCTAAGGCCTTCAGATCCCGCTTGCAGATATCCTTGTATCGCAGCAGTGGTCTCCCTCTAGGGCGATTTCCCTGCATTAATTCTCCATACAGGAGAACTTTTGGAATCCGACCCTCAGCCATTCTCACAACATGCCCGAGCCAACGTAGATGTCGCTGTTTCAGTAATGTATACATGCTAAAAATTCCAGCTCATTCTAGGACTACTCTATTTGGAACTTTGTCCTGCCAGGTGATACAAAAATGTGTCAGAGACAACGCATATGGAATGTGTTCAGCTTCCTCTCCTGCCTTGCACCAAGGGTCCAGGACTCACTGTGGTACAGGAGTGTGCTCAGGACACAGGCTGTATAGACCTGGATCTTGGTATACGCCGTCAGCTTCTTATTGCGCCACATTCTCTTTGTGAGTCTAGAGAACATGGTAGCTGCTTTGCCAATGTGTTTATCCAGCTCGACATCTAGGGAGAGAGTGTCAGAGATCATTGACCCAAGGTACACAAAATCATGAAAAACCTCCAATTCTTGTGTAGAGATGGTAACAGAGGGAGGTGAATCCACGCCTTGGCCCAAGACTTGTGTTTTCTTCAGGCTGATTGTTAGTCCAAAATCTTGGCAGGCCTTGCTAAAACAATTCATAAGTTGTTGGAGCTCTTCAGCAAAATGGGCAACAACGGCTGCATCATTGGCAAAGAGGAAGTCCCATATGCATTTTCAGCTGGTCTTTGGAATTCGCTCTCAATCTAGAGATGTTAAAGAGCTTTCCATATGATCTTGTCTGTAGACAGACGCCTTCTGTTGCAGTTCCAAAAGCGTGCTTCAGCATGACAGCAAAAGAGATCCCAAACAGAGTGTGCTCAGTCCTGGGTTATCAAGCCTGTAGCAGTCTTCAAAAAGCAAGTTTCTTCTTTATTAGACTTAAAGCCTGCTTGATACCGTCATGCATTCCCTTGATGTTACCTGTGTCTACTACTATCTTTATCTGAGCGTAGAGCTGAAGCCAATAATCATTAAAACATCTCCTGGCAGTCTGTTGGACATTGCTACAAGTCTGTTGGACTTAGCTCATAGCAAAGTCACACCTTCAATTATTTGTTATCTAATATGTCTCTTCTGTTTTATAGCATTCACAAAAGCTTGCACAAAAATATGATACACTATGAAACTATGCCAGTTTAGAACAATTTATGAAATCCTGTCACATAAGTTACAGGAACTTAGTCAACAGAAGAGTGCAGAGGATTGATGTCAGTGGTATGGGAAGATTTAAGGTAATAAAAGATGTCATTTTGTCCCATAGCTCATCTAACCTGTGGTTAGTCTGCTTCATTGGATGGAAACCAAGAGATCCACCAGATGGAAGGAGGAAGTCTTTAATTGCCAAGAAAGAGGATGAGGAGAGTGTTACATTACTCTCAAAGCTTCCATGACATAAAACAGACTACTCTTTAATTACCTTAAAATTATTCCTTCTGGTGACATCACCACCCTTCTGCAGATAAGTTGTGCAACAGGATTTCGGTATAAATTAAATAAATAAATAAATAAATAA